ACAAGACTGCTCTAACTGCTGATGAGAAAAGGTATTATTTAACAGTTTATATTTACTAAAATAATTGCATTTCCATGTTGTGTGTACTGTGGGAGACCAGATATAGTGAATGCAGGGTCCTGGGTTTAGGAACACTTTAAAGAGCAAGTGATATAGAGTTACAGTATATACTCGGTCATATAATTCCGAGTGCTTTTCCACCTCTTCTATGAGTACCGATACACTACCCACTTGATCTCCGGAAGGTTTTACCCCATTCATTACAAACTTACTTTACCTGGTAATTGCTCGGTTTTTTTTATTTTTTGCTATATAAACAAAAAATTACTGAAGAAATAGAAAAAAAAAACACTTTTTTTTTTAGTTAATGTTATAAAATTTTGCAAACAGATAATCTTTCTTCAAATTTCTTTGGTAAAAACAACCCACAATCAGTGTATATTATTTAATCTGTAGGAAAGTTATAGAGTCTACAAACTGTAATATACAGTATATATGTGAAAACTGATCATTCCTTATATACCGATGGCCTATCTCATTTCTTGGGACCCCAGCATGCCAGGACAGTACAAATAGCCCCCAAATTACCCCTTTTTTTATGAAGTAGACAATCTCAGGTATTTGCATACTATCACCAGTGCAGTACAGCATCATCATATGACTGGTGTGTCTGTGATCAGGGATACTCAGCTTCATTCACAGAAAGAAATGCGATATTTAGATATCCGGACACATTTATGCCTAAATATCGCGTGCAATCCTGAAATTGTTAATTCCTTATACCATTTTGCGGTATTTACAGCAAAACACTCAAAACAATCGGTATATACCGTATAAACCAGCAATGGGCAAACTACGGCCCGCGGGCCGTATACGGCCCGGCGGACCTTTTAATCCGGCCTGCGGAGCGTGGCAAACATCGGCTGTCAGAATGTGTGTAGACGGGGCAGCGTGAGGAACGTGAGGGGAGCTAGGCTCCTCTCACAGTCCGCCCTGAAGACCGGAACGGCGCGGGAACACGGCGAGAGGAACGCGCGGAGTAAAGGTAAGTGAATTGACACAGGGGGGACTTGGGGACTTAATATGGGGGATGAATTAATATGGGGAATGAATTACTATAGGGGGGATGAATTACTATATGGGGGATGAATTACTATGGGGGATGAATTACTATGGGGGATGAATTACTATATGGGGGATGAATTACTATGGGGGATGAATTACTATGGGGATGAATTACTATATGGGGGATGAATTACTATGGGGGATGAATTACTATATGGGGATGAATTACTATGGGGGATGAATTACTGTGGGGGATGAATTACTATGGGGGATGAATTACTATATGGGGGATGAATTACTATGGGGGATGAATTACTATATGGAGGATGAATTACTATGGGGGATGAATTACTATATGGGGGATGAATTACTATGGGGGATGAATTACTATATGGGGGATGAATTACTATATGGGGGATGAATTACTATGGGGGATGAATTACTATATGGGGGATGAATTACTATGGGGGATGAATTACTATATGGGGGATGAATTACTATGGGGGATGAATTACTATATGGGGGATGAATTACTATATGGGTGATGAATTACTATGGGGGATGAATTACTATATGGGGGATGAATTACTATATGGGGGATTAATTACTATGCTTACTATGGGGGAATATTACTATACTTACTATGGATGACACATACACATCATTCATCTACTCTTGGTCCGGCCCCGGGTCCAATATATGAACCCATTGCGGCCCTCAAGTCAAAAAGTTTGCCCACCCCTGGTATAAACAGACGTTAAATTCACATACGGAAATGTATAATTAAATGCATGTGGTAATTAGATAGTGGTCCAGGCATGTAGTATTTAAGGAACATGTAAAAACATGGATATTAAGGAGTGGGCAGCCACTGCGTCCTTACCAACTGGTAAGTCATCGGCTGTCAGTGTAGGGTTCACCTTAAAATCCATAACCCATTCTGTTTTTTCCCCATAATTTTTAATTACCGGTTTGTTTTGTTTTCATTCAGCTGTCAGCGGGGTTCCCATCGGTTGACTCATTGGTTGTTCAGGACGTGGTGGCTGCCCACTCCTTAATATCCATGTTGTTTACTGGTTGTTAAGGGTGGTGGCGGCTGCCCACTCCTTAACAACACAGTATTTATTACTATTAATATATACTGACTTGAGTCACCTCTATAATCCTCTATGGAGCAGTACTTTGGTGGGAGAGAGAGGGGAAGGACTGGGAGACAGTTATATAAGTTACATGCAATTATGCTGAGAAGGAACATGCTATAAGAGAGCAGAAAAAGCAGTGGGATGATCTCATTAGACTCCTGCTAATTGTTTACACCCCGGTCACATCAGGTGCAATTTGCATGCCAAATCGTATGCCAAGACGCACCCTATTTTCCACAATTACAGTAGTCAAACCAGTGCGGTTCCGACTTGGTCGAAGCTACACCGATTTCTAAAGTAGTACATGTACTACTTTTGGTGTGATTTGCATAGTCATCTGTGTCAGATGTCTTACAAATCGCACCTGAAATTGACAGGTCCCCCAACTTTGAAATCGTGCAACTTCACTGTAAGACGCACAATTTCAAAGTTGGGCTTGATGTGATTGGGGGGTTATTGTCAATAAGCAGATCTCTTCTACAGGTCTTGTGGGTAAAATAGTGAATAAAATCTCTGCATTTAGCTGTTGGGATCATAAGTAATCAATTCAGAGTGCTGGGGGTCAGTAGTAAGAAATGCAGATCGTGGGGGTCAGTAGTAAGAAATGCAGAACTTGGGGGTCAGTAGTAAGAAACGCAGATCATGGGGGTCAGTAGTGACTCAAAGAATCAGTATCAGTAGTAATTAACACAAAGTTCAGGGGCCAATAGTAAGCAGCAGTGTGTGTGGGGGTCAGAAGTAAGTAATTGAGAATTCAGAGGTCAGAAGTAAGCAAGCAGAGTTTAGGGGACAGTAATATATATAATGTAGAGTTCTGGGGTCAGTAATAAGTAACTCAACATTTCAGGGGCCAGTGTAAGTAATGCAAATCTCAGGGTCAGGAATAAGTATCACAGAGTTTAAGGGGTAGTGTAAGTGACACAGAGTTCAGGGATAAGTAGTAAGTAATTCAGGGTTCAGGGTCAGGAGTAAACAACATGAAGTACAGGGTCAGTAGTACGTAACACAGAGTTCAGAGTCAGGGGTAAGTATTGTAGAGTTCAGGGTCAGAAGAAAGGAATGCACAGAGTTCTGTAGTTTGTAGTGAGGAACACAAGGTTCAAAGTGAGGAATAAGTAACACAGAATTCAGAATTAGTGTAAGTAACACAGAGTTCAGGGGTTGGTAACAAATAGGGCTCAGGGTCAGGAGCAAGTAACAGAGATTTCAGTGGTCAGGAGTAAGCAATGCAGAGTTCAGGGGTCTGCAGTAAGTAGTGACAAGTTCAGGGGTCAGTAGACAGTAGTGACAAGTTCAGGGGTCAGTAGTAAGTAACACAGACTGCAGGGGTAAATAGTATGTAATGTAAAACACAGGGGTCAGTAGTAAGTAAGGCACAGTGCGGGGGTCAGTTTAGTAGTAGCACAGAGTTTAGGGGTCAATAATAAGTAACAAAGTTCAGATGTATGTTTTTTTTCTGTTGTTCTTTCTCTAATGGCATATCATGCATATACAGTGATGAGTATAGCAGCAATGAGGACACCTTGAGCTCCACCCATGCATAGGCTGATCAGCCCTCCCCAAAACCCTGGTGACACTGGTTTACACTTGGCACAATGCAGTCAGGCAACCACCAAACCCAGACACGTCCATCAGAATGTCGGACAGAGAAGCGTGATTGGTCACTCCAGAGAACACGTCTCCACTGCTCTAGTGCTTTACACCACTGCATCCACCGCTTTGCATTGCACTTGGTGATAATAAGGCTTGGGCCATAGAAACCCATTCCATGAAGCTCTCTACACACTGTTGTTCTGCTAATCTGAAGGCCACATGAAGTTTGAGGTCTTTAGCTGTTGACTCTGCAAACAGTTGGTGACTTCTGCTCACTGTGTGCTTCAGCATGTGCTGACCCCGCTCTGTCATTTTACATGGTCTACCACTTTGTGGCTGAGTTGCTGTTGTTCCCAGTTGCTTCCACTTTGTTATAATACCACTAACAGTTGACTGTGGAATATTTAGTAGCAAGGAAATTTCATGGATGGACTTATTGCACAGGTGGCAACCTATCATGGGACCACGCTTCAAATCACTGAGCTGCTGAGAGCGTCCCACTCTTTCACAATTGTTTGTCGAAGCAGTCTGCTTGCCTAGGTGCTTGATTTTATACACACATGTGGCCATGGAGGTGATTTGGAACTCCTACTTTTCACAACATACTGTATATATACATATATATATATATATATATATATATATATTAGATAGGGGGAAGGAGGCAGGAGTGAGGGTCCCCTTTAAAGTATAACTAAAGGCAAACCTTTTTTTTTTTTGTAGTTTTGTATAGAGTGGAGATGGATTAGAACACTTGTCAGTTTTTTTTTTCTGTCTGTGCCCCAGTTAAGGAGATTCACCCTCTCCATTTGTCTTGTTTATCATTAGAGATGAGCGAAGTATTCAAAAATTCGATTCGACTGATTCGGCGAATTCGTAGAAAAATTTCGATTCGAGTTGAATATATTCGCTGTATTAGTGCTGAACACTGTACCTTTAATTTAAATGCCCTTGGAGTCTGCTGGGGAAGAGAAATAATACTGTCAGGCAGTATGACATGCAGATGAGTGCCGTCGATCTTAGAATCACCGCACACTTCACTCATTTGGCCAGTCACGGGGCCAAAACCAGAGTGTGGAGCCACAGTGTGGCGGTGGAGGCAGCAGCAATGGGAGGCCATACAGCACCCTATGACAAAAATGGAAACCACCAGCAGTGTGAGGAGACCTGAAAGTGGCACATGGCAGAGTGTGGCGATAGAGACAGCAGCAATGGGAGGCCGTACAGGGACCCATGACACACTCTGGACCTGGCAGCAGCATGAGGAGGCGGTACAGGGGCCCATGGCAGATTACGGGCCTGGCAGCAGCATGAGGAGTCGGTACGGGGGCCCATGGCAGATTACAGGCCTGGCAGCAGCAATGGGAGGCCGTAGGACCCATGACACAATCTGGACGTGGCAGCAGCATGGGGAGGCGGTACAGGGGCCCATGACAGATTACGGGCCTGGCAGCAGCATTTGGAGTCGGTACGGGGGCCCATGACACACTCTGGACCTGGCAGCAGCATGAGGAGGCGGTACAGGGGCGCATGACAGATTACGAGCCTGGCAGCAGCAACTTGGACAGGAGGACGTTCAGTTTCTGCACCGTCTGGTGCGTGCTCGCAAACTGTTGTCTCTTGGAAACGGATTCCAAGAAAGACTGCTGACGGAATCCGTGAAGAGGAGTAGCAGGAGAAGGAGCATCTGAACGAGCGAAATATGCCAACAACAAGCGACAATGAGGAGTCGGGGGCCCATGGCAGATTAGGGGCCTGGCAGCAGCTATGGGAGGCCCGTAATCTGCCAGCACCCTATGACAAAAAATGGAACCCACCAGCAGTGTGAGGAGACCTGAAAGTGGCACATGGCAGAGTGTGGCGTGGAGACAGCAGCAATGGGAGGCCGTACAGGGACCCATGACAGACTCTGGACCTGGCAGCAGCATGAGGAGGCGGTATATAGGGGCCCATGGCAGATTAGGGGCCTGGCAGCAGCAGCTATGGGAGGCCCGTAATCTGCCAGCACCCTATGTCAAAAAATTGGAACACACCAGCAGTGTGAGGAGACCTGAAAGTGGCACATGGCAGAGTGTGGCGATGGAGACAGCAGCAATGGGAGGCCGTACAGGGACCCATGAGAGACTCTGGACTGGCAGCAGCAGCATGAGGAGGCGGTATAGGGGCCCATGGCAGATTAGGGGCCTGGCAGCAGCTATGGGAGGCCCGTAATCTGCCAGCACCCTATGACAAAAAAATGGAACACACCAGCAGTGTGAGGAGACCTGAAAGTGGCACATGTTTGGGGCATGATTCATGGCGGATTTAGTCAGTTGTGTCAGGAACTGGTGGTTTGAAATCCAGACTATCCACGCCTGATTCATTTTCACAAACGTCAGTCTCTCCACACTTTGGGTGGACAGTCGTGTCCTCCGCGGAGTTGCAATACCTCCTGCCGCACTAAACACGCGCTCCGATGCCACGCTACTACTGGCCGGGCATGACAGCCTTTCAAGGGCAAATTCAGCTAGTTGGGGCCAAAGGTCAAGTTTCGTTGCCCAGTAGTCAAGGGGATTGTCTACCTCGGTTGGCAGGGTGCTGTCCAAGTAGGCCTAAGCCTGTTGTTTTGGTCCTGCTCCAGGTCCACCTGATGCTGCTGCTGCTGCTGCTGCTGCTGCTGCGGCTGGTTAGTAGTTTCCTCACTGCGCTGGTGAAGAAAGCTACTCATCATCGACTGCAGACTGAGGCAGCCGCTGCTGGTGGAGCTGCCACTGCTCCTACCACCCCACCCCCCCCCCCCCCCTGCCATGGCAGCGGAACGCGAGCGCACAGGGCCCACAGTGTCTGAGGATGGACGTTGGCGCAGACAGGCAGAGACCAGCTGACTACATAGACTACATAGGTGGTTTTTATAGTACGTTATTTTGGCCCTCCCTCTCAGCAGGTGTGAAAAAGGCCACCATTTTTGAACGGTAGCGAGGGTCCAACAAGGTGGACAGCCAAAAGTCATCCCTCTGTCTGATGGTTATTATTCGGCTGTCGCTACGCAAGCAAGCGAGCATGCTATGGGCCATTTGTGCCAAGGAATGCGAGGGACTCCCTGCCTCCATCTCCACAGCATACTGCCACGGTGCGTCTGGGTCCTCTGTCTCCTCCTCCTCCTCCTCTACCAGATGCTCCTGCTCCTCCACTCCTGTCCGCTGAGTGGAAAAACCACCCATTTCACTCAATAATTCCTGAGCACCAATGTCCTCCTCTACCTCCTCCTCTTCTTCCTGTCCTGCCCCCACAGGGGTCATGTGGCGTTGAGATCTGTGCGCCACGTCTACCGCACCCTGACCAGCCATTGTTAACAGCATTTGTTCCAGGACGTGCAACAGAGGAATGACGTCGTTCATCCCATAGTCCTGCCGACTCAATAGCGTGGCCTCCTCAAAGGGCCTGAGCAAGCGCAGGTGTCACGCATGAGCTGCCAATGGCTGACATCTAAGTTACACAGGGAGTACCTTTATCCGCTTTTAACATCAGGAAATCTGTGATGGCCTTTCGCTGTTCGTAAAGGCGGTCTAACATATGTAGGGTTGAATTCCACCTTGTTGCAACGTCACAGCATGAGGAGTCGGTACGGGGGCCCATGGCAGATTACGGGCCTGGCAGCAGCAATGGGAGGCCCGTAATCTGCCAGCACCCTATGTCAAAAAATTCAACACACCAGCAGTGTGAGGAGACCTGAAAGTGGCACATGGCAGAGTGTGGCGATGGAGACAGCAGCAATGGGAGGCCGTACAGGGACCCATGACACACTCTGGACCTGGCAGCAGCATGAGGAGGCGGTATAGGGGCCCATGGCAGATTAGGGGCCTGGCAGCAGCAATGGGAGGCCCGTAATCTGCCAGCACCCTATGTCAAAAATTCTACACACCAGCAGTGTGTGAGGAGACCTGAAAGTGGCACATGGCAGAGTGTGGCGATGGAGACAGCAGCAATGGGAGGCCGTACAGGGACCCATGAGAGACTCTGGACCTGGCAGCAGCATGAGGAGGCGGTATATAGGGGCCTATGGCAGATTAGGGGCCTGGCAGCAGCTATGGGAGGCCCGTAATCTGCCAGCACCCTATGTCAAAAAATTCTACACACCAGCAGTGTGTGAGGAGACCTGAAAGTGGCACATGGCAGAGTGTGGCGATGGAGACAGCAGCAATGGGAGGCCGTACAGGGACCCATGACAGACTCTGGACCTGGCAGCAGCATGAGGAGGCGGTATATAGGGGCCTATGGCAGATTAGGGGCCTGGCAGCAGCTATGGGAGGCCCGTAATCTGCCAGCACCCTATGTCAAAAAATTCTACACACCAGCAGTGTGTGAGGAGACCTGAAAGTGGCACATGGCAGAGTGTGGATGGAGACAGCAGCAATGGGAGGCCGTACAGGGACCCATGACAGACTCTGGACCTGGCAGCAGCATGAGGAGGCGGTATATAGGGGCCTATGGCAGATTAGGGGCCTGGCAGCAGCTATGGGAGGCCCGTAATCTGCCAGCACCCTATGTCAAAAAATTCTACACACCAGCAGTGTGTGAGGAGACCTGAAAGTGGCACATGGCAGAGTGTGTGGCGATGGAGACAGCAGCAATGGGAGGCCGTACAGGGACCCATGACAGACTCTGGACCTGGCAGCAGCATGAGGGCGGTATATAGGGGCCTATGGCAGATTAGGGGCCTGGCAGCAGCTATGGGAGGCCCGTAATCTGCCAGCACCCTATGTCAAAAAATTCTACACACCAGCAGTGTGTGAGGAGACCTGAAAGTGGCACATGGCAGAGTGTGGCGATGGAGACAGCAGCAATGGGAGGCCGTACAGGGACCCATGACAGACTCTGGACCTGGCAGCAGCATGAGGAGGCGTATATAGGGGCCTATGGCAGATTAGGGGCCTGGCAGCAGCTATGGGAGGCCCGTAATCTGCCAGCACCCTATGTCAAAAAATTCAACACACCAGCAGTGTGTGAGGAGACCTGAAAGTGGCACATGGCAGAGTGTGGCGATGGAGACAGCAGCAATGGGAGGCCGTACAGGGACCCATGACAGACTCTGGACCTGGCAGCAGCATGAGGAGGCGCGTATATATAGGGGCCCTATGGCAGATTAGGGGCCTGGCAGCAGCTGGGAGGCCCGTAATCTGCCAGCACCCTATGTCAAAAAATTCAACACACCAGCAGTGTGTGAGGAGACCTGAAAGTGGCACATGGCAGAGTGTGGCGATGGAGACAGCAGCAATGGGAGGCCGTACAGGGACCCATGACAGACTCTGGACCTGGCAGCAGCATGAGGAGGCGGTATATAGGGGCCTATGGCAGATTAGGGGCCTGGCAGCAGCTATGGGAGGCCCGTAATCTGCCAGCACCCTATGTCAAAAAATTCTACACACCAGCAGTGTGTGAGGAGACCTGAAAGTGGCACATGGCAGAGTGTGGCGATGGAGACAGCAGCAATGGGAGGCCGTACAGGGACCCATGACAGACTCTGGACCTGGCAGCAGCATGAGGAGGCGGTATATAGGGGCCTATGGCAGATTAGGGGCCTGGCAGCAGCTATGGGAGGCCCATAATCTGCCAGCACCCTATGTCAAAAAAAATTCTACACACCAGCAGTGTGTGAGGAGACCTGAAAGTGGCACATGGCAGAGTGTGGCGATGGAGACAGCAGCAATGGGAGGCCGTACAGGGACCCATGAGAGACTCTCTGACCTGGCAGCATGAGGAGGCGGTATATAGGGGCCTATGGCAGATTAGGGCCTGCAGCAGCAGCTATGGGAGGCCCGTAATCTGCCAGCACCCTATGTCAAAAAAAATTCTACACACCAGCAGTGTGTGAGGAGACCTGAAAGTGGCACATGGCAGTGTGGCGATGGCGATGGAGACAGCAGCAATGGGAGGCCGTACAGGGACCCATGAGAGACTCTGGACCTGGCAGCAGCATGAGGAGGCGGTATATAGGGGCCTATGGCAGATTAGGGGCCTGGCAGCAGCTATGGGAGGCCCGTAATCTGCCAGCACCCTATGTCAAAAAATTCTACACACCAGCAGTGTGTGAGGAGACCTGAAAGTGGCACATGGCAGAGTGTGGCGATGGAGACAGCAGCAATGGGAGGCCGTACAGGGACCCATGAGAGACTCTGGACCTGGCAGCAGCATGAGGAGGCGGTATATAGGGGCCTATGGCAGATTAGGGGCCTGGCAGCAGCTATGGGAGGCCCGTAATCTGCCAGCACCCTATGTCAAAAAATTCAACACACCAGCAGTGTGTGAGGAGACCTCAAAGTGGCACATGTTTGAGGCATGATTCATGGCGGATTTAGTCAGTTGTGTCAGGAACTGGTGGTTTGAAATCCAGACTACTTCCGCCTGCCTGATTCATTTTCACAAACGTGAGTCTCTCCACACTTTGGGTGGACAGTCGTGTCCTCCGCGGAGTTACAATACCTCCTGCCGCACTAAACACGCGCTCCGATGCCACGCTACTGGCCGGGCATGATGACAGCCTTTCAAGGGCAAATTCAGCTAGTTGGGGCCAAAGGTCAAGTTTCGTTGCCCAGTAGTCAAGGGGATTGTCTACCTCGGTTGGCAGGGTGCTGTCCAAGTAGGCCCAAGCCTGTTGTTTGAGGTCCTGCTCCAGGTCCACCTGATGCTGCTGCTGCTGCTGCTGCGGCTGGTTAGTAGTTTTTCCTCACTGCGCTGGTGAAGAAAGCTACTCATCATCATCGACTGCAGACTGAGGCAGCGCTGCTGCTGGTGGAGCTGCCACTGCTCCTACCACCACCCCCCCTCCCCTGCTGCCATGGCAGCGGAACGCGAGCGCACAGGGCCCACAGTGTCTGAGGATGGACGTTGGCGCACAAAGGCAGAGACCAACTGACTACATAGGTGGTTTTTATAGTACGTTATTTTGGCCTC